TGTTATGATACGTAAATCGAATTTATACTAAATGTATCTGATACATAACAATTACCAAATAATAATGTATCGATCTCAAACCTAAAATCTTATGGACAACACTTTCTTATTTAATGTATCTAGTAGAAATAAAACACTTATCAATTTAAATTGAAAGGATCTTCGTGATGTATCTTCTCAAAATTTTCAATAATTTTGAATCAAAATTGAAAGAATCTTCAATGAACTAGGAGAATAATTTTGAAACTAAAAATTTTCAACAATTTTGAATCAAAACGGAAAGGATCTTCAATGAACTGGAGAAGAATTCACAAAAGAAATTGTTTGTCACAATTCCATCACTTTTGTATCATTCATAACTCACCTCGCTTATCCAAAATTTCGATAAAAGTTTTATGAAACAGAGAGAACGATGAACAAGAAGAAGAAATTTAATTTTTGAATTTTTGGTTTGTTACACTATAGGATTTTGAATTCTTGACAATAATTTGGAATGGAATTTATGGGATCTTAATTTGATTTTCAGCTCTTTTTTCCCTTTAATTAGTGCAACAAATGGATACTATGAGATCTTAATTTGATTTTTCAGCTTTGTTTTCCCTTAATAAGTGCAATAGATTGATACATAATGTATCAACAATAATGTATCCGGATCCTTAATTATGTATCCGAAATGCCTAAAAAATATGGGATTTATGTAATTACAAAAATAATAGGGATAGAAGGTAATTTAGGTTTTACATTATGGTATTTATGTAAGTTATACTATATATTTATGCAAATTTGTATATATTTATGCAAGTTTGAACTTAAATCTATCGTACCATGATATTTTCTTAATTAAAATTGAGCTTTCCTTTTTTTCTTTTCCCTTTTCATATAGTTAACATGGAATGTGAGAATTGATTAGATTCATATTGATTTATAATGAGATTGATTAGAAGTCTAGAACCATCCCTAGAAATGTCTTATCCTAATTATTTATATTGTCCCTTAAGTATGTAGCGCTAATCCAAAACTAAAATCTGATAGTCATTTTATTTTACAAAAGATTACATTTGAATCAACAATAATAATAATATATTCAATGAAATTTAATAAGTGTGATTTGAGGAGAGTGTAAACAGATCTTATCACTATCTCGTAAAAATAGAGACATTATTTTCGAAAGACCTTCGGTTTGAGTACAACAAATCAAAATAAGTACGAAAAAAATTAAAAGTGAAGAAAATATAACAACTAATAAAGAGATAATAACAACAACAAAATAATGCAATAACTGAAGTATCAGAAAAAATTAATATTAGCAAAAAAATTGTGAGTTCTTTTAATAACAAATTATGTATTAATTTTGTATATAGAAAAAAATGGTTATTTATGATAAAACATACGATTTGTGAAAAAAAATTATATATTAAATTTTTCTCTGTGATATTTCTCGAACAAAAAAAATGTTTTTTGTTTTCTTTCATTTCATTGGTTTGCTAAAATTCAGATTATTTGATTCATTTTAACTTTTTTATATTATCTTTCATCAAATTTTTAATAAGTCAGACCAACACTTTATCAAAAATAAATATTAATAGTCGAAAAATATTGAATAAAATGAATAGCAAATTCTTTTTCTTAAAATTTCTTAGGATTTCAAGCCCAACAAATGGAATATGTCATGTTATCAACTTCTTGTGTCAGGTTCTATAGTTCTAAGAGGGTGTTTGAATTGGCTTAAAAGTTGGTCAAATCTACTTTTAAGTCAGTTTTTTTTATTTTTGGAAGTGTTTTACAAATATAAAAAATAACTTAAAATATGAGAAAATCAACACACTGTGATGCTAAACAATTGAATTCCTCCATTGATGAACCTTGAGTTCATATGAGAAAGGAAGAAGAAGATTTTGGAAAAGCTACATGAAAAATCTGTTTCATTGAATGTGAAAAAATGAGAGAGTAACTATTACATGTGATTCTATATATAGATATACAAATTGAAAGTTAGCTAACAAACTATACAAATTTTGACTTCCTTGTAACTAACTCTAACTAACTATACTATAACAAACTTGTAACTAACTAACTAACTTTGTGACTAGCTAACAGTAATAACTAACTTATATTCTCATCACCCCCTTAAGTTGGAGGTAAGTGAGTTTACATTCAAGTTGTTCAATAGTGTAGTATGCTTAACTCCAGTCAAAGCCTTTGTAAAAATGTCTGCCAACTGGGAATTAGTAGAAATGTGGTGAAGTGTGATCAGGCCTTGCTGAAGTTTATCCCTAACAAAGTGGCAATCGATTTCTATATGTTTTGTCCTCTCATGAAAAACTAGATTCTTGGCAATGTGTACTGCAGCTTGACTGTCTTACCTGTATTGGCAAGGGACATTTCACAGATAATTTATTCAATAACCTTTCAAGCCATACCAGCTTACCTACTACTTGTCTCACAGCCCTGTATTCTGCTTCTACAGAGGATAAAGAAATTATGGCTTGTTTCTTAGCCTTCCAACTGATAGGACTATCACCCATAAGTACTAGATACCACTAACTAACTGACTTGCTTGAATCAGGACATGCAGCCCAATCTGAGTCACAATAGGCACTTATAGTAAGGTTAGGCTTGTTTGAAATGAAGATTCCCATTGTAGGATCTTGTCTCAAGTATCTAAGGACATGATAACCAGCTTTCAAGTGTGGTTCTCTAGGAGTTTTCATGAATTGATTGAGATGCTGCACACTATAAGCTATATCCATCCTAGTATTTGTAAAAAAGTTAAGTTTCCCTATCAACTTCCTGTAATGGGTAGGATCTGACAATAGTTCCCCATCTATGGCCTTTAACTTCTCAGTATAATCAAGTGGTGAGGTTGCAACTTTACAGTTAAAAGAATCAAACTCTTTCAGGAGGTCAGTGGTGAACTTCCTTTGTGAAATGAGAACTCCATCAGCCTGTACAATATTTCTAACCCCCAAGAAGTAGTGCAGTCTACCTAGATCATTTATCTTGAATTGATCATGCAAAAAGGATTTCAAAGAGTTGATTTTCTCCAAATCAGTTCCAGTTAAGATCACATCATCTACATATATGGCAACAAACACTAAAGAATCTCCCTTCCTCTTAAGAAACAATGAATAGTCACTATCTGAATGTATGTATCATCTTAAACAAAGACCGTTGGCCAATTTGTCATACCATTGCCTACTAGCTTGTTTCAAACCATACAATGATTTTCTCAATCTACACACCATATTTTGACTGTCCACTGCAAGACTTTGTGGCAATGTCATAGACACTTCCTCATTTAAGTCACCATGAAGGAAGGCATTATTGACATCTAATTGATACAAATTTAACCCCTTCTTAACAGCCAAGGTTATGAGGGTCCTAACAGTGGTCATCTTAACCACAATAGAAAAGGTCTCATTATAGTCTATTCCAATTTATTGAGTGTACCCCTTAACCACTAGACTTGTCTTGAGCCTCTCCACACTACCATCTGCCTTGTGTTTAATTTTGTATACCCATTTACATCCAATAGCATTCTTTCCTTTAGGTAGGGGAACAAGTATTTTTTGCATACAATGCTTGAAATTCTTGTGTCATTACTTTCTGCCAGGCAGGATGTAAGATTGCTTTTTCATATGAAGAAGGTTCACAGTCATGTGATATGTTTTCAATCAACTGTTGACTATCAGAACACAAAGTTGTGAAACAAACAGTATCATGGTTGGATACAAAAGAGGTGAGGGAATGATGTGGACTAGAGGTACTTGTGGTGGAATGTAGGTTAGGAAGAATGTAATTATATTCTTCCAAGTAGGTGGCAGTATGAAGTGATCTAGCTAGTTCTTCTTCTAAGGGTAGGTATAATATCATAAGATCGAATAGGTGCATACAAGGATTGTGTGGTGGTTAATGTGTTGGTGGGTGGATGGATATCATGGCCTGCAGGTGAGGCTGTGCTTTCATCAGTATTGTTGATTACTTGATTTGTAGTGACTGCATGTGATGTGTTAATGTCCAGTAATTCATCATTAGAAACATGCTTGTTGAATTTGGAATATAAGTAAAAGTGTTTTGAGTGATGAACTAGAAGCTCTAAAACAGAAGGAAAACTAGAACCATCAGGAGCAAGTATAAAAGAAAACACAGACTCATGAAAAACAAGATCTCTAGATACATGGACTCTCTTGGTAGCTAAATCTAAGACCTTGTATCCTTTTGTATTGAAGGGATATCCAACAAAAATATGTGGTGTTGCCCTTGGTTCAAACTTGTCCTTATGAGTTTTCAAAGTAGTAGGAAAGCATAGGCATCCAAAACTTCTAAGATGAGAGTATGTGGGTTGTGTATGGTATAGAAGTTCATAGGGAGTTTTATTTTTTAAAGGTTTGGAAGGCTATCTGTTGATGAGGTATGTGGCTGTTAGTACACATTCTCCCCAGTACCTCATGGGTAATTTAGACTGAAATAGGAGGGTTCTTGCTGTCTCAAGGAGGTATTTGTGTTTTTCTTTCAACTATATCATTTTAATGGGGTGTATATGGATAAGATTTTTGGTGTATTATTCCCTTTTCTTGGAAAAAATGAGTGGTCTTAGTAGAGGTGAATTCCAGACTATTATCAGACCTGATAGTCTTCAATTTGGTCTAGAATTCGTTTTCCACAAGAGATATGAAAGCCTTGATTGTTTGTAGGGCATTACTTTTACACCTTAGTAGTTGTGTCCAAGTTGATCTAATGAAGTCATCTACCATGGTTAAGAAATAGTGATAACCATCATGAGTAGGGATGTGGTATGGTCCCCATAGGTCAATGTGAAGCAGCTCAAAAACTCTACTAGTGGTGGTTGTGCTTTCTGGGAATGGCATTCTAGGTTGTCTAGCCATAGGGCATATGACACAAGTGAAGGGTTGTTTGGTGGAGAAGGTAATAGGTATAGTTGGAATGCTCTTCATTTTTACAAAGGGTACATGACCTAGTCTAGCATGCCATAAGAGTTCATTTGTGTGAGAGTTATCAGATTTAACAACAAAAGAAGAACAATCAGTAATATGGCATGAAGAAGAATCAAGTTTAGGACAATCATCTTTATTATCAATAGAAAAATGTTTTATAGTAAATGGTGTTGAAACTTCATTACACTTGACTAAAGAAGGAACAAAAGTACAATGACTGGAGATGACATGAGGTCTCTTGCTCCCAGTAGAAAATTAACAACAATTATGGCACTTTGAACATAGGAAATATAGACCATTCTTGGCTCTACCAAGTTCCAGAGGGCTATTCTGAGAAGGGCCCTGCAGTAAACAAGAAATGTTGTTAAAACTCACCACACCTTTGAGTTGAAATGCTAGACAATGAACTGATATTAGATTAAATTTGAAACTAGGAACAAAAAGCATTTTCTGCAGAGTTAAAACTGGACTTAAACATATATCACAAATCTCAGTCATTTTGACTTTGTAACCATTGGGTAGACTGATAAAGAAAGGATATGGGAATGGTCTAATGTTTGTGAGAGTGTTTTTATTGTAGGTCATATGATGTGATGCTCCTAAGTCTATGATCCAAGAGTCATCAGTTAATTTTACACATCTACAAGAAAGATCTTATCTCAGTAATAGAAGAGTAACAAGCAAGCATAGGTTCACAACTCCACTTAGCATGTTGTCTGAGTTAGTAGTTCCATGTCCAACTTGCAGGGATCCCAAAAGATTGAGCAGTTGTTCATACTAATTTTTGGACAAGTTCAATGGCATTTATTTCCTCAACTCAGGTTCCTCTTCACATTGGCTCCTATCATTCTCAGAGGTGCATATATTTGCTGCAGAAACAACACTTTTCCCTTTGGAAAACTTTGAGTTTGATGGATATCCATGAAGCTTGTAGCACATTTTTTCTTGTGTGACCTGTTCTCCAGCAGAAGTCACAAAACAAAGAGCTCCTGCTGGTGCTAGAATTACCTCTAAACACATTTGTGTTGTTCAAATTTCCAGATATTCCTGTGCTGCCTTTAGAAGAACTGTAGTTTGTACTGAGGCCTCCCTTAGATCATGTACTAATGGCAAAAGCATTCAGGGAGGTTGAGTCTAAGGCTGTGTGTTTGTAGGGTCTTACTTCCCTTTGTTTTTCCTCTTGAGACAATATGGAAAAAGTTTGTGCCATACTAGGCAGGCTACTCATCATGAGAATGTTTCCTCTGATGACAGTGTATATTTCATTCCGTCCCATCAAAAAATGTATGAGTCTTCTATCCTGTTCAGCATTCACCAACTTAATCTTACCACCACAAGTGCACACACAACTGCATTGAGAGCTTACATCGACAGTGCTCATCTCTTCCCAAAGTTTCTTCATCTTTGTACAGTATCCCGTAACATCCAAGGTCCCTTATACAAGATCATTTATCTCATTTTGAAGTTGGTACAACTAACAACCATTGGTCTGATCATACCTGTCCTCCAATTCAGCCCACAATTCCTCTGCATTATTAACATATTGCAGACTATCTCTTAGATTTGGTGACAAGGAATTCAAAATCCAAGAGGTTATCATATCATCACATCTCTCCCACTGTTGGAAGCTTGGATCATCTGGATTGGGTTTTGCAAGTTTCCCATTGATAAAGCTTGTTTTGCTCTTAACAGATAAAGCCTTAAGAACAGCTATCTTTCAGGATCTATAACCAGTATCATCGAAAATTCCATGTAATAGAGATGAACCTGCATTCTCGGAAGGGTGTAGATAGAAAGGACTAGGAATATCCATCCTAACAGTGGATGTAGAACCACTTGAAATTGGATCAACTTGTTGATCAACCATAGTGAGATGATCGTGGAGATATTTAAAACGAGTGAGAACCAGAAAGAAGAAACAGATTCAACTGAAAAACAGCAACTGAAACTCAAAAATTGAAACAAAGAATCGAAAAAGGAATTAAATTCACAATGTAACTCTTCGAGAATTGAAGCTCACAGATTGTTGTGGTTGCGGAAAGGAAGAAGGATCTAAGCCTTGTGCTCTGATACCATGAGAAAATCAATACACTGTGATGCTAAAAAATTGAATTCCTCCATTGATGAACCTTGAGTTCATATGAGAAAGGAAGAAGAAGATTCTGGAAAAGCTACATGAAAAATCTATTTCATTGAATGTGAAAAATTAAGAGAGTAACTATTACATGTGATTCTATATATAGATATACAAATTGAAAGCTAGCTAACAAACTATACAGATTTTGACTTCCCTGTAACTAATTCTAACAAATTGTACTGTAACAAACTTGTAACTAACTAACTTTGTGACTAGCTAACAGTAATAACTAACTTATATTCTCATCAAAATAAGTCAAAAAGGACTTAAAATAAGTTTGGAAGTGTTTGGCAAGGTTAAAAATAACTTAAAATAAATTAAAAATGACTTAAAATAAGTTAAAACTAAAAGTAGGTCTCTCCTACTTTTTATTTTTTTACTCAAAAATCATTTAAGTTTGACTTTTATTTTTGACTTAAAAGTTACTTTTTAAGTCAATCCAAATGGGCTCTAACTCTTATTTTTATTTAAATTTTACTTCTAGAATTATATTAACAGTTTCTATAATAATTGTCTCGGTGAAAGGATATTTTTTAACGTTGAAACTAATGAAATCTTACCTAAAACAAATACTTTGGAAAACAATATTTGAAGAAATCAATTATAAATTTTTTAAAAAATATTTCATAGATGACATTGCATAAGATGTCTATTATTTATTATATTAAGCTGAAAGGAGAGCTTATCTTTTAACTTTACTTAAAACATCATATGCCTATGTTTTAGAAAGGAAATAAATAGTTTTGTTGATTAGTTATGCTTGCCATGATTTAGTCATCATCCGACCTTAGCTCAGTTGGTAGAGCGGAGGACTGTAGTTGGTGATGCCTTCAGGCATCCTTAGGTCGCTGGTTCGAATCCGGCAGGTCGGATTTTTATCTTCTTTTTTTATTTCCCCATTGTTTGGTTAACTTTTGAGTAGGGGTGGGCGTTCGGTTCGGTTCGGTTTTCAGTTTTAGAAAAGTGTGCACCATATACAAACGAAACTAATTCAGTTCGATTTAGTTCGGTGTTTTGAATCGATTTTTCGATGTGAATGAAAATTAAAATGAGGACAAAATTAAAATATAATATACTTAAAAATTTAAAAGTATGTTAAGGAATATTGTGTCTCGCCATGGAACACTTATTTGCTAACTAAAAGACTATATTTATCTTTGTCAAGAACATTGTGCATCCAACTATTTCTCGAGAAAAACAAGGACGAAGACAGATTCTTTTACATAACGTACATTGATAAAAATACGTTTTGGTTCTTCTTGGGGATTAATATTTGAAGTTAACTATTGAATTGTACATTTTTTGCTTCTTTGATTTGTTCATGAATGATTTAATTGTTAGTTGACTCTTTATTTTTAATTAAGAGAATGCCCATAAATAACACCAAACACCGAAGTTTTGAGACCCTTACACCGAACACCGAACCGAAGAACCGAACTTTTGAAAAAATAACACTGACACCAAACCAAAAGACCGAAGAATTGAAACCGAAGAACCGAATTAGTTCGGTTCGGTTCAATTTTTTGATTTTTCGGTATTTATGTCCACCCCTACTTTTGAGTGATCCTCGTATAATATTAGTAGTTTAGTTGATTGATTATCTAAATTTTTATTTTATTAGCGAACATTCGATTTCACTAATATAATGCTCTCCCTCATTTCTCCTTTCACTTTTCAATTTATTTGATTAAAGATATAATTAATTCGAAGACAAAATTTATAAGTCAAATTTAATGTTATACTCCCTCTGTCCCTAATTACTTGTCCACTTTTCCATTTTTAGTTATCCCTAATTACTTGTCCATTTTGATAAATCAAGAAAGGACAAAATATTTTTACCTATTATACCCTCAATTAATTACTTTGAAAAATGTAGAACTTCTTGAAAATCTTAAGTTTTTAAAATGGTAAACTCACTAGGTCAATTATTATTTTCTTAATAGGTGTGTCTATTCAAAAGTGGACAAGTAATTAGGGACATAGAGTATTTTTATCCCGGAGGTAGGATACATTAGTCCTAACTCCTATGATAAGAACCTCAGCCTATAATTCCGAAATAAATTTAACTGGGAATCGAATGCAAGACATGCTAAAATCATTCTCGGAGTACTCCCTTTTTTTTTCTTTTTTTTTCTATTGGTCTGATCACATGCATAATTTCCTACTCAGCATTGATGTTTTTCATTTTATGTTTACACATAAAAGAATGTGGAAACACTATTTCTTGTCTTGTTTTGATTTCTTAGTGGATATTTAATATTCCTATTAGGAGCTAAATTAAATTTGAATTTGTATATGTTGTTTCACATTCTCTAACAAAGGCGATGAGCTCGGAATGGAGTATAGCTCCCTTTCTTTTTCATCAAATTATGAATTTATTGTAAGATTAAATACTTTGGTACACATCAGGATCTTGAACATGATATTCTTACATAGAGATCGTTAGGGGCACATACTTGATGCAGAAGACATCATCACAGAGAAAAGCGGAAGCGTTAGTCGTAAATTGATTTTTACCTCCTTGTCCTAGCTTTATGTTACCACATCCGTCAGCGATGGAATTAATGTAGAGAATATGTGGTAACCCTAATGGATGGAGGACCAACTAATAGAGGTTATGACTTAATCTGATACGTCTATCAAATAATCAATGTACGGACGAGATCTATTATTCATTAAATATTATTTATTGTATTACTTGAGTCACAAGAAAACTTGGGCCATAAGTAATAATTATTCTTACATTCTCCCACTTGTCCCAATGACCATATACATTAATATTTCATAAACATTAGTTGTGCAGACAATAAATCTCCTTTGTAATGTCCATCATACATACCACAATATAACAAACTACTAATGCGAGTTATGGCGGTTGTACATAAATTTTAAGATACATACTTCCTTCCATATACTACTACATTAGCAACCTATCATGCTACTCATAGAGACTTATCTTGTAATATCTCAAAACTAGGGGTGTACATAGGTCGGTTTGATTTGGTTTTTCATTAAAAAAATCGAAATTAATTATGTCGGTTTATTAAATCTAAAAACCAAATCAAATCACGCAAAGTCGGTATTTTGGGTTTCGGTTTTAGTCGGTTCTTTCAATTCTTTTCGATTTTTTGGTTTTTTCGGTATTTAACAACTATACGGTATTTGAAAAAAAGATCAAATATATTTTCACTTACTTGTGTGATAAATTAAACTTAAGAAATGTTAAATGAATAGAAATTTTCGTAAAGACGGTAAAATATCAAACTTATACTTTCGTTGGGATTAGTTGAAAAGTATGTGATATATATTAAGCACTTGGAAATATTCCAATAAGTATATATCATAGGAATATTCTAGTAAAAGTCTTGAAGAGCGATTAAGGATGCTTGATGCCATATAATATAGTAATCTTATTATAGGCCATATCTTTCTTACAATATTACTATTTGTTTTACGTGACGTGAACTTCCCAACTTGTATAATTAGGACAAGGAGGAATATATTGGAATTAGTTTCAAGGATTCCTCTAAGAATGCGCACAAAAGAGGAATCTATTGGAATATTACTCATTAATACATGGAATATAGGAACATGTAAGCCACACTTTAGTCAACTTGATGGAAAGTCTAACAAAGAAAATATAATTGAGAGTTGTGATGGGATGTGATACAAATTTTTTATTTTTTAATGAGAGATTTAAATTTAATTTTTAAAAATTTTAAAAAAAAACTTGATTAGAAGTGTTTTCCCTTTTAATAGACCTTATTTAGGGGAAATTCAAATTAATAAAGATTTCAAAGCAAATACATATATTAGGATCAAAAACTAAAAATGAAAATATAAAGGATAATCATAACATGTTAGATACTACTTTTGAATGAATTTTAGAGATATGATCAAGAAAAGTGGATGTTGGAATACTCAGGTAGGTAAAGCCATACTCAGAAAAAGTAAGATTGTGAGTTCGAGTCACGGAGAAAGCACAAAGGTAGGGGCTCCTAGGGAGGGGGTATAATGAAGAAAAGTAAGATAAAGTTTACTTCAAAGCATTATAATAAAATTAACTATAGAGTATAAAACAATGGCTAAATAATTATATTTTTTGTCTTAATTTATGTGATACATTTTCTTATAGTCTATTCTCGGAGAATTGTCTCTTTTTCCTATTTGACAACTATTTAATGACATCTCCATTTTATTCTTGTTAATCTCACATAATACTTTATTGTGAAGAAAAGTCAATAAAAAATAAACAATAAAGTTTCTTTTATTCCTTAAATTTCGTGTTCAATCAAACGATACGAGATAAATTAAAACAAAGGAGTAAAAAATATGAGATATAAACAAATGAAGGTACACTACAACAAAAACAACTTTTAGCGGCAATAAATAGACAAATTAATAAAGAGTACTAAAGTCTTTACCGGCATTAGTTAAGTGTCATTAGATCCAATGTCGCTAAAGGCTTTAGGGACATATACAAAGTGATAATTGCTCCTAAAAATATATATTTAGCAACAATTGAGTTATTGCCGTTAAAAATTATTTTTAATGTAGTGATAGAAATAGAGCGTCTACTCGTGTCAAGTTCATCAAAGAAGAGGACATATAGTGTCATCCTCCTCGGGCTATTGTTAAAGATGGTAAATATTTATTAAAAGTCAACTACTCCTTATAAACATATTAGGTGGGAGGCAAATCAATATGCGAATTTTCTGACAAATGAAGGT